CCGATGCAGCAGAAGAGGCGGGCAGCACAGCTCCAGACGTCGCCGCTCCGGGGATACCTACCTGGGGAACATCATCCTGACCTTCCGCCGCTCGGACGGTTTCCGCCATCTCATCACGACGGACCTTCTTAGCCGCCTCCGCTCGGGAACTCTCGGCCACTGCCTCCCGCTGACGCTTCGAGAGAAGCGAGCTACTCGGAGACAGAAGCGGCGCCCCCATTTGTCCGATTGTCGGACTCCGGACTGGAGCTCGAACCTCGGGAGCCTTCAGATTCGTCAAACCAGCATCAGAACCCTCGGTATCCTCAGCTGGATCCTCCGAAAACAACTCCCTAGCAGTTTGGTGGGCCCTTCGCCTCGAAGAACGGAGAGAACCCCTGACAGGACGATCGCGTTCCACCAGACATGAGTTCTGGAACCAGAAATTGGCAGGATTAGCACTAGCGCCCCGATACCAGCGGCAGTATAAGAGCGTGTGGTGTAAATCGCGTTCTGGAACCAGAAATTGGCAGGATTAGCACTAGCGCCCCGATACCAGCGGCAGTATAGGAGCGTGTGGTGTAAATCGCGATCCCGTGCGGGTAGCTCAAAACGAGCCTAAGTGCCACCTGCATGAGTCCAGAACCATCCCCGAGCGCCATCCACCAGTCCTCCTTCAAAGCACAGGTGGGGGTTGGCGTTGCCCACATACAATTGATCGTACCCGAACTGGCGCGCAAACCTACATGATGTTTGTGATTCAGGAAGAACAACTAGAGGGGGTAACAAATATTTTGTAACTTTTATAGACGATTGCTCTAAATATTGTTACCTCTACTTAATTAAGACCAAAGATGAAGTCATAAACAAATTTAAAATATATAAAGCAGAAGTTGAAAATCAATTGGATAAGAAAATTAAAATACTAAGATCAGATAGAGGTGGTGAGTACACTTCTAATGAATTAAAACAATTCTGTGAAGATAATGGAATTATTCATGAAATAACTGCTCCATATACACCTCAATCTAATGGAGTAGCTGAGAGAAAGAATAGAACACTAATGGACATGGTAAACTCAATGTTAATTAATTCTGGTGTGCCAGAAAATTTATGGGGAGAAGCTCTCATGACTGCATGTCATATACTAAATAGAATTCCATTCAAGAAATCTGATAAAACCCCTTACACAATTTGGAAGAATAGAAACCCTAATTTAGATCACCTAAAAGTGTGGGGGTGCTTAGCAAAAGTCAAAATACCTGAGAATAAAAGAAAGAAGATTGGCCCTAAAACTGTAGATGGAATTTTTATTGGCTATGCTTCTGATAGTAATGCAAATAGATTTTTAATAATCAACTCTGACATTAATGAGATAGCCAACAACACCATAATTGAAGCTAGGGATGCACATTACTTTGAAAATATTTTTCCTTACAAGACCAGAATAAACAACACAGGCCCTAGCTCTAATAATTCAGATCCTAGTTCTAATCAAGGTGAAACTAGTTCTAAACAAATTAGACCACTAGAAAGTCCAGAGGAGCCTAGGAGAAGTAAAAGAACTAGAATAGAAAAGGTCCATGAAGATTTCTATGCATTACTTGTAGAAGATTCTCCAGTTACATTTGAAGATGCAATGAAATCAGTAGATGCTCCATTTTGGAAGGAAGCTATAAATAATGAGATACAATCTATAGTTCAAAATCATACTTGGGAACTAACTGATCTTCCTTCAGGATGTAAAACCATAGGATGTAAATGGGTGTTTAAGAAGAAACTTAGACCTGATGGAACAATAGATAAATATAAAGCCAGATTAGTAGCTAAAGGATATACCCAAAAGTCTGGTATTGATTATTTTGATGTCTATTCTCCAGTAGCTAGGATTACTACCATTAGAGTCCTCATAGCTCTAGCATCCATTCACAAATTAATAATACATCAAATGGATGTTAAAACTGCATTTTTAAATGGAGACTTAGATGAAGAAATTTATATGGATCAACCTGAGGGATTTATAGCTTCTGGACAAGAAAAGAAAGTATGCAAGCTTATTAGATCACTATATGGTCTCAAACAAGCCCCAAAACAATGGCATATGAAATTTGATGAAATTATACTATCTTATGGATTTGTAATTAATCAAACAGATGAGTGTGTATATCATAAAATAGATAAAAACAACAAAATTGTGATATTATGCCTATATGTTGATGACATTCTTATTTTTGGTTCTGACATACAAATCATAAATGATATCAAACACTTTTTATCATAAAATTTTGACATGAAAGATTTAGGTCAAGCTGACCTAATTCTTAATACTAAAATCATAAAAAATAAGAATGGATATGTGCTATCACAATCACACTACATAGAGAAAATCCTTAATAATTTTTATGATCCAAACTGTCAACCTGTTTCCACTCCATATGATCCTAATGCACATCTAAAGAAAAATACAGGTGTTTTCGTCGAAAGTTGGTTTTGTCATGGAATTCATTATATCTTCGGTCGATTACAATAAATTCAAAAGAAATAGTCTTTTTATAAGACTTCTCTTACACAACAAAAGGAAAATTAACTTTTTAGAAACAAACGCAGGATCGTTGTTCGGATCGCTGCTTGCGTGGGATCTTTGCCTGTGCCGGGAGCGCTTTGACTCGTGGACCACCAAACCACAGATTCTGATTGAACCGTGAGGGGTTTAATGATTCTTCCTTCGTTTATCGAAGTAAGAATTTGAAGCGAATATCTTATCGATGTAAGATGTTCACTCTTCCAAAGATCAAGTCTGAGCTTAGATCTCTAGGACTCGCTAGAAGCTTCTTGAGGATGTTTGTGAAGAAGGAAGACTCTCTCTCTTGCTCTAATTCACCAAAACTCAAGGCTCTCTGCTCTAATCTCTCTGGAAAATGCTCAGCCCCTGTCAATGATGGCCATAGGGGGGTATTTATAGCCTCCTTAGACGATAACTGAAGAAATAGCTGGTCAATAACTGTCTCTTTAGGCGCGGCAGCTGATGCTGTCGCGGCTAAATCGACCCGGCCGCGGCTAAAGGGGCAGTTACACCCACATTCATACGTGTTTAAAACTGTTCTCCCACGACCTTTAACCACCTTTTTCGTGGTTTAACTGCCTGTCCACGTCAGCACACGTTCTATCTCTGATACGTCGCCACGTGGGCTTCAATAATCATCAGATAACTGCATTATAACTGCTGTAGCACGCCCTTTAATGGCCGCGGCACTTTAGGTTGTCGCGCCTTAGCCGCGGCACGATATGCTGCCGCGCCTTAGCCGCGGCACCATATGCTGCCGCGCCATGGCCGCGGCACCATGATCTGCCGCGCCTGAGCCGCGACACCAAGCACTGTTTGGTTGTGTGTACATGTCGTCTCACTTCCTATTTTTTGACGTCTACAGATACCCCCTCCAAAGTATCTCAGACTCATCATTTTTTAGAGAGGGGTCTGGGACACTTTGGATATGATAAGCTTTCCCTGCAATTTCTCCAGTGCTTTGTTGAGGAAATTGCGTAGAATGGTTTGTGAATGGCTTCAATCCTTGACTTCTTCATCTTTTAGCCTATTCAGTGCTTTGTAGAATAGCTAAAATTCCTCCGGTACTACGTTTATCGCGTGGCCGTTGTCGAAGTCTTGAATCTGTCGAAGTCTCAAATTAAAACTGCTGTCGAAGAATTTGAGAAATAGTTTATACTCATATACTATATTGGAGTGTTCGGGAAATAGTTTAACCTCATATACCCGTTGGGAGGTTCACGGAGATGCAGTTTATACTCATATACTCCTCGGAGTATTCGGGAAATAGTTTAACCTCATATACCCGTTAGGAGGTAACCAGGTTATTCTTAAGAATATTTTGAGTAATATTCTCCAGAAACTTCCTGTTGAGATTAGGGAAATAGTTTAGACTCGTATACCTATTGGAGTATTCTGGTCTCTTGTTTGTTGGTAGAGATGAACCCGATGATGGAGAGGAAGAATTTTATATTCTATCTCCTGGTCTCTTGTTTGTTGGTAGAGATGAACCCGATGATGGAGAGGAAGAATTTTATATTCTATCTCCTGGTCTCTTGTTTGTTGGTAGAGATAAACCCAGAATCGGAGAAAAAGAATTTTATATTCTATCTCCTGGAGTAAAGAAACTCAAAGTGGGATCTCCACTTAGAGAATCTGGATTGGTTTGAATAATCCTAACTGTCATAAGGTTTGATTACTCAATTCAAAAGTGGACCCTTCGTTCGCAAAAAATGAATCGAAAGGAGATTTTGGTTGTGGTCCTAACTGTAGTAAGGTTTGACCAAGTGGGAGTTTTGAGACGATCCTAACTGTTTAAAGGTTTGATCGTTCAATTTGTGGACCTCTCGTTCATGGAACGAATCGAGAGGGGATTTTGGCTTTGGTCCTAACTGTTTAAAGGTTTGACCAAGATGGGAATTTGAGACGATCCTAACTGTTTAAAGGTTTGATCGTTCAATTTGTGGACCTCTCGTTCATGGAACGAATCGAGAGGGGATTTTGGCTTTGGTCCTAACTGTTTAAAGGTTTGACCAAGATGGGAATTTGAGACGATCCTAACTGTTTAAAGGTTTGATCGTTCAATTTGTGGACCTCTCGTTCATGGAACGAATCGAGAGGGGATTTTGGCTTTGGTCCTAACTGTTTAAAGGTTTGACCAAGATGGGAATTTGAGACGATCCTAACTGTTTAAAGGTTTGATCGTTCAATTTGTGGACCTCTCGTTCATGGAACGAATCGAGAGGGGATTTTGGCTTTGGTCCTAACTGTTTAAAGGTTTATCTGATTCCCTTCATCTTGCCTGATCTTTTGTCTGACTAACGAAGGATTAATATTACAGCACCAACCATTGGGATTAGCCCAATATCGATTCCTGGTATATCTAGCTTACCTCGGAGTGACGGACTCGCCGGTACGCATACGATTTAGGGATATCGTACTTCTCTAAGTTTATCTGACTTTTGACTAATATATGAGTGCAATCATAGGACCAGCCACCGGGACTGATTCTCTTATGACTCCTGGCATTCCTCAGATGCCTACGGGTGATGGACCTACAGGTATGCAGATGACCTTATCATCCTAATCCTCCTTATTTGTCTAAATTTTCATTTTGACTAATAAGAGGGTGCCATCATAGGACCAGCCGCTTGGGCCGATACTCTTATGACTCTTGGCATTCCCGCTGCATCTGAGGACGGTGGGATTGCAGGTATGCATACGATCTTCTTGTCCCGATTCTCCTTATTTACCCAAATTTCCACTTGGCTAATACAGGAGTGTCACTGTAGGACCTGACTAATACAGGAGTGTAACTATAGGACCGGCCGTTGGGCCTGATACTACTACAGTTCCCGGGGCTGAAAATCTGCATAGAAGTGACGTCTCTCCGTCCTTGCCGAGTGATATGAGCAATCCGCCTGCAGGGGTTGATATACCCTCTTCTGCTGCTGTCTCAGAGCCTGTCGGATCTCAGCCTGAGGGGACGTCCGTTGGCATTGGTATGCTCAGAACTTGCCTTTTGAATTTCCCTATCGTATTCGATAGTCCGCTGAATTTCTGTGTTGTTGCTTGTAGGATCTCGATCTTCCCTATACGAGCGTGTCCGCGTCCTTTTGGTCGATACTGATCCTGACAGAGAGGCTTTTCGTACGGACCTCAGCTTCTTCACTGCCTTTTATAACGGCATGATCGAGAAACTTCTTCATAGAGGATACGGTTTCGATCAGTTCAGGCGTTCCTTTCCCGGAATTGGCCGACTCCTTTACTACTGATTTCGCTGCCCTGGAGTCAGAGATACGAGAGTTGAAGGAGTTGGAGGTTAACGGGGCTTCTTCTTTCGTGTCCTCTCAGTTGGAGCATAGGATGGCACAGTGGCGTGAGCTGAGATCTTCCATCGGATGCGAGCTTCAGTCACATGAGAGTTCCGCTGCGCAGCTGATGGCTACCGTAGCGAGGAAAGACACGGATAGAGCTGAGCTACTCCGCTCCTTGGACTCGAGTCGCGAGGAGGTGACTAGGTTGAAGGAGGCTTTGAAGCACGCCGAGGAATCTGCTGCCCTTATTGCAGATGACCTGGCTGGACTAGAGCGTTCTCGGGAACAGGCACTCGAGAAGCTAGGATCCTCCCAGGAGAGACTGATGAAGCTGAAGAGCGAAGCCGCGGAGATTTAGCTTAAAGTCTCATATTCTTAGCCGTCAGTTGCCTTCGGGCTAACGAGCTTTTTGTTGTATGCTTTTGACTTGAAATAGAAACTCTGCATTTGCTTCTTTCTTGTGATTTTTCTGTATATTTTTTTTTTGAATGACTTATGGGATTTTTGGCAAACCCCCAGCCCTCAACGGGTTTGATATGTCTTTACCGATTACCGTTTGAAATCGGACTAGCATGTGAATTATTAAACCCGTCTCACATGTAACGTTGTGCTAAGAGAGTAAACTCTCTGAGGCTTTGTGCTATGATTTTGAATACATAGGCTTCGTCTTTCTCACGGGAATAGACTACCCGGCAACGCGTGTTAGGCGTTGACTTATCCCTACTTAGGCTTCGGAATGAAATTCCCCGTGCATCGAATGCCCGGATTGAGAATCGTGTCTTTTCTAAAAGCAGAGACAGACTGAGAAACGGGAGAGGAACAATTTTATATTCTATCTCCCGGTGCTGAAGAGGAAGAATTTTATATCCTATCTTCAACTGGAAAGGAAACGGGAGAGGAAGAATTTTATATTCTATCTCCCGGTGCTGAAGAGGAAGAATTTTATATCCTATCTTCAACTGGAAAGGAAACGGGAGAGGAAGAATTTTATATTCTATCTCCCGGTGCTGAAGAGGAAGAATTTTATATTCTATCTTCAACTGGAAAGGAAACAGGAGAGGAAGAATTTTATATTCTATCTCCTGGTGCCAAAGAGGAAGAATTTTATATTCTATCTTTAGCTGGAAAGGACACGGGAGAGGAAGAATTTTATATTCTATCTCCCGGTGCTGAAGAGGAAGAATTTTATATTCTATCTACAGCTGGAAAGGAAACTCGAGGTGGGATCCCCACCCCCAGAATCCGGAAGGATGAACTGGGAGTGGGATCTCCACTCCGAGCATCGGAAAGGTCCGAGGAGAGGAAGAATTTTATATTCTATCTCCCGGTGCTGAAGAGGAAGAATTTTATATTCTATCTACAGCTGGAAAGGAAACTCGAGGTGGGATCCCCACCCCCAGAATCCGGAAGGATGAACTGGGAGTGGGATCTCCACTCCGAGCATCGGAAAGGTCCGAGGAGAGGAAGAATTTTATATTCTATCTCCCGGTGCTGAAGAGGAAGAATTTTATATTCTATCTACAGCTGGAAAGGAAACTCGAGGTGGGATCTCCACCCCCAGAATCCGGAAGGATGAAACTAAGAGTGGGATCTCCACTCCGAGAATCGTAACAATTCGGATAACCCTAACTGTCGGAAGGTTTGATTACCCGATTTGGAAGTGGACCTCTCGTTCATTGGGGGAATCGAGAGGAGATTTTGGCTTTGGCCCTAACTTTTATAGGTTTGACCCAGCAGGAGTTTGAGATGACCCTAACTCGATTTGAAAGTGGACCTCTCGTTCATTGGAGGAATCGAGAGGGGATTTTGGCTTTGGCCCTAACTTTTACAGGTTTGACCAGAAAACACAGAAAGTGGAATACAGGTAGCAAAGAGAATGCCAACTCGTATTATCACTCACAGGGAGACTTTGAATGCTAGGCGTTCAGGACCTAGCACGTTAAGTCTGCAAAATGCCAATGACGGGCAAATGGAAATGTTGGTGGATCCACTGTCATTTGATTTGATCAGCGGATGGTTTGGCGAGGAAAGATTAACCTACCAGAAGATTGGATCTCTTCTCACAAAAATAACTCATAAGAGTTAGAGAATAAGAAGAGACATTCCGGCCTTCAGAGTTTGAATCGAATGCAGAGTTCTTATTCGTCAATTCCACAATGACCGGGTTATCCCTAAGAATACCCATGTGGTATTCTTCCGGGAACTTCCCGATGCATTGGTTATCCAAAAAGATACTAAGGATAGTATCTTTTCAGGAATTTGCCGTTTATCGGCATCATGAGCCGGTCGCCGTCTTTGGTGACGAGGCGATAGGCGCCGCTCGAGTAGACTGTCTCTACCACGAATGGTCCCTCCCATTTGGGTTCGAATTTACCCTTCTTCTTGGAGTTTAGGATCATAGGCCGTTTCACAGCTAGAACCAAATCTCCTTCTTTGAAGCTTCTCTGTCGAACCTTTTTGTCGAAGGCTCGAGAAATTCTAGCTTGGTAAAACTCAATTTGCTGTTGAGCTTCCAGGCGCTCTTCATCGAGCTTCTCGAGTTCTTCGAGGCGCTTCTGATGTTGTTCTTCGGTCGACATCTGGGTTGAAAGAGCGATCCGAAGAGATGGTATTTGGATCTCCAATGGAAGAACAGCTTCACATCCGTATACCAGTGAATACGGGGTTGCTCCCGTTGGTGTGCGCACCGTGGTCCGATAGGCCCATAGAGCTGCGCCAAGCTTGTCATTCCAGTCTCGTTTGTTGGTCTTCACGATCTTTGACAAGAGTTTGATGATGGTCTTGTTGAAGGCTTCAGCTAATCCATTCGCTGTAGGATTATAAGCCGTCGACGAGATGTCCTGAATTTTAAACTTTTCGCAGAACCTTATGAAGGCGTTGCTGACAAACTGAGGACCGTTGTCATGTATGATTCGTCTTGGAACACCATACCTATAGATGATGTGGTGCTTGATGAATCCAATGACGTTGCTCGTCTTAACTTCTCTGAGTGGAATTGCTTCGGCCCATTTGGAGAAGTAATCGGTAATTGCCAAGATGAACCGGTCGCCTACCGGTCGCCTTTGACTGATGGGGGATTTATAGGGCCAACAATGTCCATTCCCCAAGTCTCGAACGGCCATGACGTAACCGAAGGATGCAGATGCTCCGGAGGTTGGTGCATATAATTCCCGTGTATCTGACACGCATTACTTTTTCGGGCATATGCAATTGCATCACTCATCATGGAAGGCCAAAAATACCCCATTCTTCTGATGCGATCGTAAAGCTTGGGACCAGGTTGCTGTGCGCCACACTCTCCTTCATGCGCCTCCCTAAGGACCTCTTCAGCTTCTTTGGTTGATAGGCAACGCAATAGCAACCCATCGTACCCCCTGCGGTATAGCGTTCGATTCTCTGTATTGTAGTAGAATCTGGGTGCTCTTCGCCGGATTGACTCTCTTTCCTTCACATCTTCTGGCAAGATTCCATGCAGGACGTAGTCGATGATGGGGAAACGCCAATCTCGTGGTTCGAACTCGATTTGAGTAGCGTGTACCTCTTGAACTTCTTCTTCCTCGGCATCTTCACTGTAAAGCGGCACTAGGAGTTGGTGAGTTCTTACCGTAACAAACTGCTCTGTTTCGGGAGGCTGCGCTAGTGACACGGCCAATGCGGCCAACGCATCTGCATAGGTATTCTGTAGCCGTGGAATATGTTCGATGAAGAATCCTTCAAATGATTCCGCTATCTCCACTGCCATCTTATGGTATGGAATTAAATCCTGACTTCGGACTTCATATTCTCCTTGGACTTGCTTGACTATTAGTTGAGAATCGCCGAAGGCTTCGAGATACTCAACCCCCAGCTCCTTAGCGAAGTTGAGTCCTATGATCAGTGCGTTATTAAGGCCCATTTTACCAATCGCCAGCTCATGGAAGCTGGTTGAGTCATTAATACTCGGACCGGATTAACTTTAGAGATGACATAAATAGTCTGCCCGACCAGATAATGCCGCATCTTCTGAATAGCGAACACCAAGGCGAGGCATTCTCTCTCGATCATAGGATATCGAGATTTGGCACCTACCATGGTTCGGCTCAAATAGTATACTGCCTGCTCATGATCGTTATCGTCATCTTGTGCAAGTAATGCACTTAATGAGTGGCTCGTCGCCTTGACGTAAATCAAGAACGGTTTGCCCGATTTCGGTGCAACGAGTACAGGAGGTTTCGAGAGATATTCTTTAATACTCTCGAATGCCTTTTGACAAGCGTCATCCCATACAAAAGACACGCCCTTCTTTGCGAGCTTGGAGAATGGTTGGCATTTTCCTGAAAGGTTCGAGACGAATATAAGCTAATCGCCCTTGCAATCCTCTGAGCTCCTTGAGGTTTCTCGGAGGCTGCAATTCATTAATCGCCTTTACCTTATCAGGATCGATGTGAATACCTTTGGTGGTGACGACGAATCCCAGGAATTTACCACTAGACATTCCGAGGAAAGACTTGGTAGGATTCATCTTCAATTGATGGGCTCGCATCAAGTCGAACATGGTCTTCAAGTCCTTAATGTGATCTTTTTTATCACGACTTTTCACGACCAAATCATCTACGTAGCATTCGACAGTCTTTCGGAGATGCTCCTGAAAGATCTTTGACATAGCTCGCTGATATGTAGCACCTGCATTCTTTAAGCCGAAGGGCATAACTGTGTAGCAGAAGACGCCGAGAGGCGTTCTAAATGCGGTATGCTTTTCATCATCTGGATGCATCTTTATTTGGTTATAACCAGAGAAACCATCCATGAAAGACATCCTCTCG